TTACCCTCAGACAGTACCTCATATGCTGGCCTGGTACCTGGGCCGAGATTCCTCACGGTAGGGTGAACTGAACCCCATATTTCAAATGGAGCTCAAGATGGTTTTTGAGTGTCTGTGCCAACTTCTTGCCAAGCATTCTTACTGTGTCTTATTATTCATGCACTGAGCTGACATTCCACTCAGTAATAAAAACGTCCTCTTCGTCATTTCCTTGCTGTTGGTTTCTACTGGACAGTAAGTCATAGATATATGGACCCAAGGGTTCAGATCCCTTTCACCCACATCGGGACCATAATGGCACTCCCGGCTCCTGGCTTCAATGTGCCCAACCCCAGCAGCTGTGGCCTTTTGGGAATGGATCAGCAGGTGAAACAGCTCTCTCTATCCCTCTCTGTAATTCCGAAGGGAGGCAGAGGGACAGGGAGGACCAACGGACGTCAGGCCTCCATATGACATGGTTTGTTGAGGGTATTCTCCTTTGCGTGTAGGTTACACTTTGTGGACACAAGAAGGCATGCTTGATACAGATCACTTTGAAAGGGGAAGGTAACTGGAACGATCTGAATGGAAACAATCCCAGCCATAAAATTTTCAGGAAGACAAAACTCGTCACTCAAATTTTTCAACATTCGTCTTTCTACGTGACCTGGGTTTTTGAAATGACTGCAAGTTTCTCTACCCATCGGCTAGACCCGTGCCTCAAGCACCCAACAGAACGCAAAGGGATGAATAATGGCTGGGCATTTCTTGATGCCCAGGAAATCACGGGGGGCTGGGAGTACTATTTCGTCTTGAATTCTTGGGCGTCCAGGCCGGGGGGCTGGGTAGTGTTGTGTGTCAGCAGGGTGGTGGGCGCTGGTCACGTGAGGCATGCTGGCCGCCCGTGCGTCTCACCGGCCGGGCATCAGGCTCCTGGCAAACTGGGCCAAATGGAGCATTTAAAACCGAGAGCGGCAACCGGCGGGGCTCCTCCTCGGGGAACGCTCCCCGCGCGTGTTCGTGCACATGGCCAGGGGATGCTCGCAGGTGCACAAGGACCCCAGGCGGGAGAGAGAGTGGGTCGCGGGCCGCGCCGGGGCCGACCAGGCACCGACGACGAGGGCGCTCTTCGGCTCCCGAGGACAGCGAGGAAAGGGGGTCCCCCAGGTGAGACTGCCGGTCGCGGGGCCCCGGAGCCGCCTCACTGACCTGTGACGCTGGCCCGGGTGACGCGCTGCACCACGGCCTTCATGGCGGCGCCGAGCTCCGTGCGGCCTCGGCCTTCGCGGGCGGCTCTGCGGCAGGCGCCCTCTGGGGGTGACACCCGGAAGTGCGCGCGGCGGTCCCGTCAGCCCCGGTCGGCCACGCCCACCCCCGGCGGGGCTCCCAACCCGCCCACGACCGTCAACCCCGCCCACACGGGCCGCGCCCGCGCCGCCTAACCGTAGCCCCGCCCCATGCTCCGCCCCCACGCCCTGTCCTTGTTCCCCAATGGCGACTAAACCCCAGCTTTGTCCTAAGTCCCATTGCTAACTCTGCTCTTCCTGTTTCTATTCGTCTGTCCCCAGACTGTCCCAAATTCTTGCTGTCCCGGAGGCTTGTCAGATATTAGACCACAAAAGGGTCAGCTGCCTGAAAAAGCCAAGTAACTTATTAATCTGTCTTGGCCATTTCATGATAGTAAATAGGTTTCCATTGTAGAATTGATTCTTCCTGTAACACTGTGGCTTACACCTGCATCACTTGTGAGCATGGATAACAGCCCCTGCTTCGCCACTTCAGATCTAACTCCGGTGCTAACGGCCTGGGAAAAGCAGTGGAGACAGGTCCAAGCGTTTGAGCCCCTGCCACTCATGTCGGAAGACCAGCAGGAAGCGCCTAAGATCTAAATCTTTTTTCCATTAAGTCAGTGTGTCCACATATATTGACCTAAGATCCCTTTATAGACTTAAAAATGATAAATGAGGACCCAGACTCTATGGCTAAATCCTCACCCTGCGAGCGCTGGAATCCCACGCGGGTGCTGGTTTGTATCCTGGCTGCTCCACTTCCCATCCAGCTCCCTGCTTGTGGCCTGGGAAAGCAGTCGAGGATGGTCCAAAACTTTGGGACCCTACACCCACATGAGAGACTAGGAAGAAGCTCCTGGCTCCTGGCTTTGGATGGACTCAGCTCCAGCCATTGCAACCATTTGGAGAGTGAACCAGCAGATGAAAAATCTTTGTCTCTCCTTCTCTCCATAAATCTGATGTCTTTCTCATGAAAATAAACCCAGATGGCTGAGTTCCCGCTGCTCGGGCTCTGCCCGGCCCAGGGCCACGTGGGCACCTAAGGACTGAACCAGCATGTGGGAGCTCTCAGTCTCTGTCTATGCATGAAAGATATAGATCACACAATGCACAAATATATGAATATACCTTTTCAAACGCCATTGTGTTATAATTGCCTGTAACACTCAGTTTAGTGAGGCCAGTGACATGAGGTAGTAGGTTAAATTTCTGCCTGTGGTGCCATGTGGGCACCAGTTCATGTCCTGGCTGCTCCTCTTCCAGTCCAGCTCTCTGCTCATGGCTGGGGAAGCGGCAGAAGATAGCTTTAGTGCTCAGACCTGCAGGGAACTCCAGGTTCCTGACTTCAGACCAGCCCAGCTCCAGCTGTTTTGCCCATTTGGAGAATGAATCAGTGGATGGAAGACTGTCTCTCCTCTCTGTAGATCTGCCTTTCAAATAAAAATAAGTAGCTCTCATGCATATACATATATATTCAGTTTAGTAACCTGCTGTATAGGTTTGCGTCCAAATGCATACTTAAGGAAGTATAAGGCAGTGTAGAGAAAGACCCCATGATGCAGTTCTCAGCACTTACCCCCATTCTGCAGGGATGCTTGCCAGTACTTGACTGGAAATGATGGGGCCTGTGATGGGAGAGTGAAGGAGAGGTCTAGAGTAACAGGGTCCTGACTGACCAAGTATCAGCTGAGAAAAAAGACAGCAGCAAGAGCAGTGCTGTGGTCTGTGGAGTGGTCTGCATGTCCCCCAGGGGCCTCCGTCCTGAGGGGTTGGTCCCCACAGTCTTGCATTTATGGGTGATGGCTTACTGGGTTTATGACCCATCGGAGGTGAGAGGGCTGGCTAGTTTCTGTCTCTCTGACCTCCTCCCCCACCATCACCACGTGATATCCCACTCTCCACCATCCTCATCAGACACCACACCAATGGAGCTGCCCCACCTTGGGCTGTGGACTCCCACAACTATGAACTGAAATGCATTTTCCTCCTTCCTCAGCAACCACTTTCAGGGATTTTTTTTTTTTTAAGATTTATTTTTATTGGAAAGGCAGGTATACAGAGAAGGAGAGGCAGAGAGGAAGATCTTCCATCTGCTGATTCACTCCCCAAGCGGCCACAACGGCTGGAGCTAAGCCAATCCTAAGCCAGGAGCCAGGAGCCTCTTCTGGGTCTCCCATGCGGGTGCAGGGTCCAAGGCCTTGGGCCGTCCTCGACTGCTTCCCCAGGCCACAAGCAGGGAGCTGGATGGGAAGTGGGGCTGCTGGGATTAGAACCAATGCCCATATGGAATCCCAGTGTGTTAAAGGCGAGGACTTTAACCGCTACGCTATTGTGCTGGGCCCTCAAAATAAATAAATCTTAAATTAAAAAAAAAATACCCAGGGTGGGTGTAGGACGGCCTAGGCTAGGTCTCTGCCTCTGCTGAGCCATGCGTAAGCTGTGTCTGGGTATGGACCAGGTTTGGCTGGGCTGTAGTACCCAACAAGAACTGAAATGGGTGAGGGCCGGTCAGGAAAGGCCACTGTTCCTGTGGGACAGGAGGTGGACTAAGTAGGGCTGGCCCATGGACCCACCGGTGTGCGAGATCTGGCACTGGGAGAGATCTGGATGGAGGAGCCTGGGGAACTCCTCTGTCGGGACACACTCCCTGCAGGTGAGTACAAGAACCAAGACAGGGAGCAGCCCAGACCAGGCCAAAATACAGTACCCACTGGCATACATTTGGCACAGGTCGGGAGCAGGCCAGGCTGGGTCAGTCCATATCACCAACTGGCAAATCCAAGTGCCAGAATGGAGTGTGGGTCAGGCTGGGTCAGGGCACAATACCAGCCAGTCCACATGAGGGCAGGACTAGGGGCTGGCACAGCTGGGCTAGGCTGTAGCCCCACCAATGTGAACTGGAATTGGGCGTGGGCCTGGCCTAGCCAGGCTACAGCACCCACTAGCAAATGCCGAGGTGAGGCAGTCTGTATCTGGCCAACACTGTGCTGGGGAGAGCAGAGGCAGATGAGCTTTGCATTCATAGCTGGGAAGGAGTAGGCTGTGTGTAGGAGCTACAGAAAGGGAGGAAAACCAGCTGAAGAGCGGCAGGCCAGCCAGGCAGGCCAGCCAGGCAGGCTCTGCGTGGTATTCACATTGTGGTTCCTAATAGCAGGCCGTGTGCAAAGCCCACCACGCTGAGCCTTCATCCTGAGCTGCTGCAACACCCTGCTCGTAAGGATCCCCTTTCGAAGCAAGCTCACCTGGTGAGTCTGCTGCCTGCAAGCCGGGATGACCAGCCCAGAGACCGTGAGGCAGTTACACGGTTGTCCTGACTCAGCACTCCCAGCACCCACAGGCGGCCTGCCATCCAAACCCGCTGGAGAAACATGGAGTGTCTGCTCTGGTCCCGAAGAACAAACCACATCGGTACAATTCAGGAGTCACGACCTCATATGGAACCCTCTTATGCAGGACCCAGATTGCAGCTGTACATCCCGAGTGCAGCATGGAGATGTGCTGCCTCTAACCTTAACGGGCTCACTAAGATGGGGTCTAATGCAAGCACAGAGCGGCTGTCGCCAGTTCCCGAAAACTGGCCAATGGAGGCTTAGTGTGCAGTTGCATGTCAGCCTCCCACTCTAGCGCATACAGAGGAACCCTCCCTGTCCAGTCTCTCGAGGGAACACCCATGGCACCCAATGAGTAATTATAATTTTTACAGAAAAATTACAGTGGGTGCTTTACACAAACAAAATGGAAATCAAACCATTTATCAAGATTCAACGCTGAACCCAAGTTCTGCTTTTCAGAGTCCAACAGCGGGTCATGACCCTGGGCCACGGCCACCAGTCCATGATTTCCAATAATTGAGGATTTTTTCAGTGATTGGAACAAAATCTTCCCGAAAGGTGATAGTCGTTTCCACGTAAAACCCTTTAGGAGGCTCCAAGATTTCACTTGTTGGAGAGGAAGCTTCTGGTGCTGGGACCTCCTTTTGTTCCACTTTATCATCTTAGAAAGAAAAAAAAAAAAAAGAACGGATTTATTACAGAAAATTAAAGATTTAAAAAAAAAAAACATAACCACTGTGGTATTAAGATGTTTTCCATACATTCATAACACCCACTCAACTCCTTGTTTCTACAGAGTTCCAAAAGACAGGAAGATTTTCCTACTTCTTCGCTGCTGAAAGTCCTGTAAGCTTTTGCTTGCAACAAGGGTTCTTGAACCGGATTCGGCGTGGGAGGGCACGCGTGCAGCTGAGCGGGTGAGATGCCCAGGTGTGATTCCCCGCTCGCTCCGGGCTCCAGCATTCGGAGGTGAGAGGCGGCGCCCACGGTCCCTGCCCTCTTCACAGGACTCCAGCTTTCAGCCCGTCCCGGCTTGGCTCAGGTCTGACCTGGCCACTGACGGCTCTGCAGAATTACCGTGAGGTTTAGGGCCCACAAGAAGCCTCCCCACCACCTGTACCAGAGCGGGTCCAAGGGCAGGTGCCGGCGGAGAGCCCTACCTGCTAACTTCCTCTTGCGGTTGAGCAAATACACCGAGCCCAGCACGGTCCAGGCGCCCACCGCGTAGACCACAGACATCCGCCGGTACCATAACGCCGCCTGCTTGGGTTGCATGTCGCCCCGGGTGGAAGGACTGGGTCCTCCTAGGACCCGGCGAAAGGAGGGACTACCGGATAGCGCGTCTCAGCCACCAACGGGAAGCCGGCCACCGATGCATCTTGGGAAGTGTAGTTCCAAACGTCGCAGTCCCTGGCTCCAGGGAAGCTAACGTGGGTAGGGAGACCCTGCCTACCACGTGATGGGCACCAGATGACAGCTTCTCTGGGCACACTTATCATTTGGGAAATGATTATGCCAGCTTAACGAAGCTCAGATGGGGTTTGAAAAGGTCAACTCCGTCTCCTTTTGGCGGCTCTCAGATCTAAACCTCAACGTTCCTTCTGCCCTTTTTTCCTTCCTGGGCTCAAATCTGAGTGGATATTGGATTCCCCCCAGGTTACCAGCAGTCCTTCCCGCGTGGTCTGGGTCCCTTTGCTTTGCCTCCATCATTGATACCTAACTCCTGTCCCCGCCCATTTCTCCTGACTGACGTGGATCCTTCCACCCGTGGGCCCGCCCACCTTTCAGCTCCTCCTCCTACACATGGTTCTGCATCTCTGAAGCATCTGACATCACTGACACTGCCTCCCTCCCCCGTGGCTCAAACTATTAAAAAAAAAAACTATCTTCAGCCCTACAGAAGTCCACACCTACACAAACGAACCCTAAATGGACCACTGACTTCAAATAGAAAAGCTGAAGATATCAACTAGGAAGAAAACATAGCAGAAAATCTTTGTCATTGTGAGGTAAGCACAGATTCCTAACAATACAGAAAGCAAAAAATTGATGGCGTGTTTTGAAAAATGAAACTTTACCCCTTTGTAGTCACAGCCAAGGAAAAGACAAACCATAGCATATGCAAAATATACATACATCCAGGATATAGGAGGCCTTCTTACAATTGGATTAGAAAAAGGCAACCCAACTGAAAAATAGCACGTTTGGATGGAATGAAAGCTAGACATATGGCCAATAAACACAGGGGCCTGATTTATCACCAAATGTAACTTCTGTATTTTGGGACCTGTGTTATGTTGCCTACAATGCTGGCGTCCCATAAGAGGGCCAGTTCTGGTTCCTGCTGCTCTGTTTCTGGGCCACCTTCCTGCTGATGCACCTGCAAAGGCAGCGTACAATAAAACAAGTGCTTGGGCCCGGGCACTCATGTCAGGGACCTGGATGGAGCTCAGGGCTCCTACCTTGGGGCGGGCCCAGCCCTGGCTATTGTGGATGTTTGGAGAGCAGACCTTAGTTAGAAAATCTTTCTGTCATTCTTCCCTTCAAATAAAGCAAATCTTTAAAAAATCTGCATTTTAGCATTTTATAATGTGAAACAACTACATGCCTGTTGGGATGGCTAAATTTGGCTTAGGAACATCAGGAGTTGTAAGAATTTGGAGGAACTACAGACACTCACTAGTGGGAACATAAAATGCTACCTTTTTGCAAAACTGCATCTTTTTCTTTTAAAAAAGAAAACATTTCTTTTTATTGCGAAGTCAGATATACAGAGAGAAGGAGAGACAGAGAGAAAAATCTTCCATCAGGTGATTCACTCCCCAAGTGACCACAGCTGCCAGAGCTGCACTGATCTGAAGCCAGGAGCCAGGAGCCAGGAGCCAGGAGCTTCTTCCGGGTCTCCCATGTGGGCGCAGAGTCGCAAGGCTTTGGGCTGTCCTTGACTGCTTTCCCAGGCCACAAGCAGGGAGCTGGATAGGAAGTGGAGCGTCCAGTAATGAACTGGCACCCATACGGGATTTCGGCACTTGAAGATGCAGAATTAGCCTGTTGAGCCATGGTACCAGTTGCAATTTATGTATTCTTCATGAAGGATCTCAAATAAAAATTGTGCTGCCACAATGAAACTAATTCTACACAAAGGCACAGAAAATAAAAGCTTTTTGAAATAAAATGTGACCGTTCCCCACTCAGGAAGAGAAAGGCATAACATAGAGCAGAGAGACAAAAGGGCAGCATACACCTTTCTTTATCCCTTTTAAATCTTTTTTAGCTGTTTTTTTTTCACTATTTTTTTTTAGCAGATACAGCTTCAGACAACAACAGAATGCATCCAGATGGTCTAACACGTGGTCCATGAGCTCCCAGTTTTCCCTCTCCACATATTACCTCTGACACACCATTTACCTCAAACTTTTTTTTGCCAGTTTTTCCTTGTGAGAACATAAACCCCAGAATAGGAAGTTTCTATTGGCTTTATTACCAGTGCCTGGAACACTGCTCCATTCACAGCAAGTGCTGAATGGTTGTGGAGTGTACAAAAAATAAGTTTTGGGAGAAAATTATCTGGGGCCTAAACTTTGACCTAGCAAAGCTGCTAAGTTTGAAGACAAAGGACTTGTTAATAAATATACTTAGATCCAGTGCATTATCTCCAAGGTCCTTTTTTTGGAAAAGTCATTCGAGATGACAATATGCCTTAAGGAATAAAAGGAAGAGTGGGACTAACTCAGCATCCAAAGATTCCTGGGTAACAGCCATATAACAAGCCTACAAAAACAAAAGCCCAAGACCAAGAGGAAATATCAGGGAACTCTAGATAAAGAACAGACTCCATAGAACCAGGAGACAGAAGTTCTTTCTGTCTCTCTCCTTCTCTCTGTAAATCTCTTTTAAATAAAAACAAGTAAGTATTTTTTTTAAAAAAAGAAAAGAAAAAATAGAAAACAAAGTTCTCTCTGAGGAGGAGAGTAGATGAGGGAGGCAAGGCTGATGGTATCTGTTGCAATAACTCTTAGAATCAGGTGATCTCTTTTGTTTGGAGTGTGCTTTTTAGGATCATGCGGATCCCTGACTGGGATGCCCAGGGCAACAGGTGTCACTCTGCTGGAACCGCTTACGTTGGCAGCCACGCCTGAGGTTTCCTGGCTGGGCACACTGCACTCGAGTCGGTGCATCTCCAGCAGCTCTGCCTCAATACGCTCGCATGTGTTTTGAATTTCCTGGGTTTCTTAACATGTAGGTGGTAAATGAGTATTAAGTTCAGGAAATGCTTCATGAAAGAGTTAAAACAAACACACTTCTCAGAAAATCAAATTTGTGCTTTTTTTTCAGATTTATTTCCATTAGGACGATTAAACTTTTCTCTTGTAAACAAGCTGCCAAAATACATGACCTCTGATTTTATATAAACTATAAAAGTTAGGATCCCAAAAACATAAACATGTACCATACCACCAGTTATGACCTTATAATCTCATGGTGCAGGAAAAAGGGCAGAGATCAGGAATACAAATAAATTATCATCTCGGGTTGCATTCAGAATTCCCTTTCATGACCTACTAAAACCCACCAGGAAAGTGAAAGGAATGTCATTAAGCCTTCCCAGACAACTGTGAACATCCTCCCTTCCCGTTCCCATTCGGCTCAAGCGGCACTGGACACAGCCAGCTTCTTCAGGTGATCCATGAACACCTGCAAGCTGACGTCATCAGTGAGGATGGGTGCGCCGGTTTCCTGAAACATCAAGAGAAAGGGTTACTGGCTGGAACTGCAGTGAGAAGGCTTCTCTGCCACACACCACTGACAGGGCTGCCCTGGACACTCGCTGCTGTCCCTCTTCCCTGGCTCTCCCCTGGTTTGTTAACAGAAACTGGCCTCCTGATGCATTAAGATCAAGCCACGCTGCTGGCAAGGTCTGAGCACCTGCCTTTCAACTGCAACCCTTCTCTATGGTCCTGACAGCTCATCCAGAGCTAGCTCTGTGACAAGGAGCCTCCTGAAGCCCCTGCACCATCCTCTCACTCGCCCCACCCTTTGCCAGCACGCAGGCATCCACGATTAGCAGCCACGTGACAAGTGTGGATTCACAGACCGGTGGGTATGTGAGGCAGTCAGCATCTCCACAAAACCAATGGGTAACTGCAATATCAGAAAACACCTACAATCTTATTCACGTTGCAAGAAAAGATCGAACTGCAAAGAAACCTATTTGTAACAAAACCTCAACCTTGCAAAGCAAATCAATACATGTGGGGTAAATTTTCCATATGCACAGTAAGAAAACACGATGCATAAACCTCAAGCACTTTGGCATCAAGAAAAGATTTTATAATTCAATTTTCCAAAGGTACGCTCACATACATTTGAAACACATACTTATTAAGTGATAATGTAAATCCCAATTTCTCTATTTTAAATATATATATAAAGATTTATTTATTTTATTGGAAAAGTCAGATATACAGAGAGGAGGAGAGACAGAGAGGAAGATCTTCCATCCAATTATTCACTCCCCAAGTGACCGTAATGGCCAGAGCTGAGCCGATCTGAAGGCAGGAGCCAGGAGCCTCCTCCAGGTCTCCCACATGGGTACAGCAAGGCTTTGGGCCGTCCTCGACTGCTTTCCCAGGCCACAGGCAGGGAGCTAGATGGGAAGCAGGGCCACTGGGATTAGAACTAGCACCCATATGGGATCTTGGCATGTGCAAGGCAAGGACTTTAGCCACTAGGCTACCACGCTGGGCTCTTTCAAATATATTTTTACAACATACAGCCTGTATACTTAGGCTATGCCATCTAAGCTTGTGGAAATACACTCTATTTCACCAAAAGAAAAAACTGCGTTTTAACTGCCTATAAAAAACTGCACTTTTCAGAACACTTAACCTTCGTTAAGCAACAGATGATAGTATCATATAACTACTCATCAAGGGGAAGGAGTGGCTGTATTAATATCAGATACAGTAAAAGAAAAATTGTCATAGACAAGAGAGGGGCCTTAAATATGATGATTAAAAGATCAGTCCAGCATGAAGACACAGCAGTCGGCCATGCATATGTCTAAACTGAGCTACAAAACTTGTGAAAAAAAAAGGCTGACAGAACTTCAGTATTCCAACTCAAGAACGAACAGAACTAGACAATCAGCAAGGACACAGGAAGAATCAGATACTGCCATCTGCGAGCAGATCCAACAGACATTTGTGGGACACTAGCCAACATCCATAGAACACACCTTTTTTTCAAGTGACCATGAAATATATGCCAAAACCAACCACATCCTGGGCCATCAGACAAACCCCAACAAATTTACAGTAACTGAAATCATACAAAGTACGTTCTTCAGCCACACTGAAATCAAAAGGACAAATAACAACCTGCGCAAATACATGCAAACAAAACAACATGCTCGCAGGAAAAGAGCAGTATACATCTGCATTAGAACAGAGGAGGGGCTGGTGCTGTGGCACAGCACACTAAGCCTCCACTTACGGTGCCAGCATCCCAAAGGGGCACCAGTTTGAGTAGTGGCTGCTCCACTTCCCATCCAGCTCCATGCTTGTGACCTGGGAAAGCAGCAGATGATGGCCCAAAGCCTTGGGACCTTGGACCTGCATGGGAGACCTAGAAGAAGCTCCAGGCTCCTGGCTCCAGCCTGTCCCCAGCCATGGCCATTATGGCTATTTGGGGAGTGAAGATGGATGGAAGATTATCTTTCTTGTGTCTCCCCCTTCTTTCTCTACGACTCTGCGTTTCAAATAAAGAAAACAAAACAAAAATCTAGAAAAAGAGTAAAAAAAAAACAAACAAACCTAAAGCAAAATCAAGAATGGAAATTAATGACTACACAAAATCAACAGAATTAAAAATGAAAATACAGGAAAGTCAATAAAATGAGGAGCTGGTTCTCTAAGAGGATCAATCAAATTACCAAAACTCAGTTAGGACTGACACTTGGATCAATATCAGCAAGGAGATAGACTCTATGAAGACCTAATGGATGATAATGGAGTAGTACAAGCAATTTTGCATATTTATTTGATAGTTTAATAAAATGGAGCAAATTTCTCAAAAACACAAAGCATCCAAAAAGTTCATCTAATATGAATTCAAGTCTGGCTACTCCACTTCCAACCTCGCTTCCTGCCAATGTACCTGGGAAGGCAGTGGAAGACAGCTCAGGCCCTGGGCCCCTGCTCACCATGGTGGGGCCCAGGAAGGAGTTCCTGACTCCTAGCTTCAGCTTGACCTAGACTTGGCTGTTGCAAGCATTTGTAAGTGAACTAGTGGGACTCTGTTTTCCTGTTTACTTTGTCATTCCGCCCTTCAAATAAAACAAACAAATAAATCTTAAACACACACACAAGGGCAATTGATGAGAGCAGGCATTTGGGTCAGCCTGTTTGGGACCCCCACGCATTATAGCAGAGTGCTTGCTGGGAGGGAGTCCTGACCACTTCTCTTTGCTGCAGCTGCCTGCTGGTGTGTGTTTTGGGAGACAGCTGACATTTCCTAAGTACTTGGGTTCCTGCCACCCATGTGTGAGCCTGAAATTGAATGCCCAGCCCCTGTCTTTAGCCTGGCCCAGCATTGGCTGGTGTGGGCACTTAGGCAGTAAACTAACAATGCAAGATACTCTGTCTCTTTGCTCTTCATATAAAATGAAATTAGAACAACACAACACAAAACAAAAGGGCACCAGGAGAGATGCTGGCAGTGATGAAAACATTGCACACATCCTGACTGCATCAATGTCAGTCTCCTGTTTGTGATACTATATCAGTTTCCAAGTTACCTTGAGTGGAAAATAAGTAAGGAGTATAGGAGTCTATATTATTTCTTACAACTGAATGTAGATTTACTTCTTCTGCAAAAACAATGTTTAATTTTAAAAAACATTATAAGAACACAGAATGAGAGATTCAGACACAAATGCTGGCACCAGCAGACTCAAAAGAAGGGAGGAGGAGGAACAAGAGACTGAAAAGGAGGAGGAGGCCGGGCAGACCATGCAACAGCTTGGCAAAGCGGCACAACCAGGAAGGCTTGGGGTTGTACCTCCATGTCCCGGGAGGACTAGGGGTTTCACCTCCACGTCCAGGAGGACTGCAGCACGGGGATTACCACACAGTGTCTGTCCGACACTGGACAGTGGCACTGGGAAAGCAGCTGTGCTTGCAGTGTCTGTTCTGATGCTAGCACCTTAATCTGGGTCCCGTGGGAGAGGACACACCCAAGCAGCCCTCTCCCCACTTTGCTCTACTGTTACTGAAGTCCACCCTCTACTGCATTCCCAGAAAATATTCAAATTTTTCTATCCATGGGCTCAGAGAGATGCAACTGTTACAATTTTTCAAACAAGTTTCAAGCTCCAATAGCCTGGTTTCCTCCCCAAACACTGATCAAGTTCTTACCTGGCCCCAGGCAAACAGGTTATTGTGTGTCTGAGATGGGTTCACTTTGGATAGAAGAAATCGAGCCTTTAAAAAAAAATTCAACATTAAAGGCATTAATTCAGCACAGTAGGAAAAAACACAAAGTCTTTACATTTCTTTGGTTAAGTTGGAAATTCTGTTTAAGGCACAGGAAGCTATTTCTTTGGGGAAGCCTACCCTCTTGCCATTTTCTGAAAGATCACAAAACATGAAATAAATACTTTATGTTGGCAATTTTCTGCTTCTAAAAATGCCAGCTTACATCACTACATAAAACAGTAGCTACCTGGCCGGCTCCGTAGCTCCACTAACAGACGGTGAGGCACAGGCTGTCAGAGCCGGGCAGCTCACTCACCTGACTGCCGCCGTGCTCCGTATTGATGTAGCGCGGCATGGGGAAGCGCGCCTGAAGGATTTCCTGGGCATCATCCAGGGGAGCCTGCAGCAGGTGCCTGAAGCTTTCGTACTCTGGCATGTCCTGGTATCCAGCTTTCCGCCACTGGGCCACAGTCTACATCAACAGAAAACCACCAAAACTGCTGGGGGAATGCTGCAACGACATAGCCCCCAGAGCCACCATTTCCAGTGAGGAAGTCTCCCACCAGAAGTGACCCATGGCCAAGGGAAGCAAAGCAGAACTGACTAGGAGGAGCAGCTGGACCTGGCAATGACAGTGCACCTAGGACACATCACCTGCATGGCTCATCCATCATTCGCACCTGCTGTTGCCTGCCTACCTGTATGGACCAAGGTATTAAGCTCCCGGATCAGTCAGCCCGAGGACTCATGGCCTTCCTGCTTCCACTGCTCCCCATCAGTCTAGTCTCTTGCCCCACCCCTTACAGCCAGGGGTTTCACCAGCACCCTGATGGGAACCCCTGCCTTCTCTCTGCTAACAGTGCACACATTACACCCCACACCCAGAGCTGCTGGCTCCTCCCACTGGACCCTGAGATGGGATTCTCTTGGCAGAGGAGATAAAAAAAACCACATAGATCAACATATGAATTAGGCTATGAGGAAGAGGCAATGGAGTAAAATGTGGAATGTATACAATGCTTTTCTTTCCAATTAGACTAAAACATTTTATACCTCATTCCTCAACAACTGCTCCAGGAAATATCTTACACACACAGGAGACCAAGAGATATTCATTAACCGATTTGTGTGTATTTGTAATGAAATTGCAGTGTATTTACATGTGATGTCAGCAATACTACCAAAGGGCAAGGGAGAGGGAAAATGGGAAACTGACATACTAGTGTGTTCTAACAACACGACTGACACACATACACACACACACACACACACACACACACATTCAAAAGGCTTGTACAAAATGCAAGTAACAGCAAGCTTATTTCAGTGCAAAACTTTTTTATATTCCCTGCATGTGGTCTTCAAAAAGGTTCAGAAGAAATGTAAATTATACAAGAACTATGCATGAACTTCAAAAAACATTTTTCACTGAAATAATTATCTTCTGCTTTCAGCTGTCCATGGAGTTTCTGCAACACTACATCTCTTTAGATGCTCCTCCTGTGGCCAGCTTTCCCTTTCTGAGTTGCCAGTTGCCTTTTCTAAGTATTTTTTCTGCTTCAGAACCCCTTACCTGCACTAGGTACTTAGCAGATGTGTGAGTGCATGAGAATGAATAGTCAGAGCTGTCAACAGGAGGTGTGCTGAAGGCAAAGCAAGCTAATGTCGTCAGCACTGCCATTCAAGAAACAAGTGGGAATGGCAGCTGGTTGGCGCAGGGCTCTTGGCCCGCCCTTCCCAACAGTCTAGCACTGGGGGCAAGTGGTTGGCACCACTACTACCTAACATTTAGGGGGAAATTCTGACACACAGCAGCATTTTGTCAGGACATTTGAAATCAGTTCTTCTTTTTTTAATGATTTATTTTTATTGGAAAGTTGGATTTACAGAGAGGAAGATCTTCCATCCATTGATTCACTTCCCCAAGTGGCCATAAGGGCCAAAGCTGAGCTGAACCGAAGCCAGGAGAAAGGATCTCTTCTGGGTCTCCCATATGGGTGCAGGGTCCCAAGGCTTTAGCCCATCCTCAACTGCCTTTCCAGGCCACAAGCAGTGAGCTGGATGGGAAGTGGGGCTGCCAGGATTAGAACTGGTGCCCATATGGGATCCCGACACATACAAGGTGTGGACTCACTAGGCCACCACGCTGGGCCCTTGAAGTCAGTTCTAATGTTCAGGCACTAGAAAGCCAAATCAATCCCCAAAGCAATGGACGGGATACAGAACAAGAACAAGCATAACACTCAACTAAAAGGCTTTTGTTTTTCTCTTCCCTCCGGATGATGCATCATCACTCTAAGGGCATCATTCCGTTCACAGACCATGAGTACCCCTTAGGAAAGAACTGTCACTGAGGGCACCGGAGCCCTCCTAATGCAACACTCCTGGGATCACCTCATATCATCAGAGAAGACTTCTCCCCCAAGTGCCACTCCAATTGAGACACCAGCAGCAGGTACAAAAAGTTTACTGAAGAACAAACTTTTTTTGTAATTTTTCCTAATAAGTCAGAAAGTACTTTCAATGACTTAAAAGGACCTTCCAAGATTTCTTTTATAGCACATATTATTTATTAAATACACAAACACCCTAAGGGTGTTTGACAAGAGTTTATTAACAGAATGAAAGCCAATGTACTCACCATAATAAACTCTGGATTTTCTAAGCTCAAACTCCTGTTTCAGATGTCATTTTTAAAAGAGCTCTAAATCAGTAACTAGGAAGAAAACAAGACTCTCCTCCTACCTCACCAAGGTAAATGACAATCTGGAAGAAGGTGTCCATCAGCAAAATTCTGTCTGCCAGGATACTGCTGCTGTCCAGGAGCACGGGCTGAAGACAGAGAGAGATGGCAGGCATGGCTTGGTGCTGAAGAGGCCCAATCCACAGGGACGCCCAATGGCCCCGTCCCCACGAGGCCCAATCCACAGGGACGCCCAATGGCCCCGTCCCCACGAGGCCCAATCCACAGAGACGCCCAATGGCCCCGTCCCCACGAGGCCCTATCCACAGAGACGCCCAATGGCCCTGTCCCCACGAGGCCCGATCCACAGAGATGCCAGCACTGCCTCACACTCACGAGGCTCGATCCCCAACAGAGGTGACTGCTCACAAGTGGGCCCCAACACTGGGATGTCTCTTCATCCACACTGCCGCCTTCTGACCCACAGCTCAGTGGTTCTAAGTCATTCCTTAGCAAGCAGAAGGGGCGGCACAGTATCTTGGCATCTGGGGCCTGGAAATCACTGCAAACACTGTTTTGTGTTTGTGAAAATATGTTTAATCACTTGGGAACATTCATTTCCTCTCAAATCTACCACAGCTATAAATAAGGGGGAGAACAGGGATGCCAATATGGAAAACAGTACTTACCACAAGTTCTTCAAGTTTATTATGAAATGTATTTTTATACATTTTGCTACTTAAATAACAAAAGAAACCTGTACACATTAAATAAAAATGGAAAATATGTCCTCATGTATAGTAAATAGTGACCTGCCATTTCTACATGGTTCTCTGTTTTTGCAGGTTTCTTAGAAAACACCACTTACAAAACTTTCTATTTTTATTTTTCTCAGGTAACAGTTTGTTGGCTAAATTTTGTGAATATAGGGTTACTTATTTCTTTGTCTACTCTTGACCACTGCATTACCTAATTCTCCATTTTAACTGTATGCAAATAGCCTTACATGTCCTTTTCTTCTTGTGGCTATTTCCAACACTCAAAATTAGGGCTTAACTGCTATAGAAACTCAGCCTTTTCTTTTTTTTTTCTTAAATAATGCTGATCTAAAAGTAAATTTTCCAGGAAAAAAAAAAACATAAGCAAAATTAGATGATTTCCAGTCTCCAGAAAGCCTGTGCGCTCACGTATGGGAGCGTGCACACACAGGTGCACCTGCACACACGTGCACACGCCTACCTCAGGCGGCCCATGGAAGGAGTAGGAGTAGAGAACGGGCTGGATCATGATGAGGGACTGCATCAGGTCCTGCCGGGCAAAGTGGTGTCTGTAATAGGACGACTCGTCAGGGCTGTTGTTAAACACTTGCAGGAACGGAGACCTTCTAAGGTGGAACATGAACTGCAGGCACAGAGGGAGAGACAAGTGCACGGAGCTGTAAGCTGCTGGTTCACGCACCTCAGTGCTCACACAGCTCAGCCCAGCCCCTAGGAGAGGCCTCTAAGCTGAAGCTTCCACGCCAAAGTGGACAGACTGAGCAACACTGACTTCCAGAGACCTGGGGCTGCTCACGAAGTCAGGCCATGTGGGAAGAGGCATCTGGGGCATCTTCTCATGTTAAGCAGTGGTGTGGGGTTAGGTGTGGGGCAGTGACAGGCCAGCACACTCTCCAGAGCTACGGAGTCAGGGTAAAGACCCTGAAAGCTGCAGGTCAGGGACCACACGCAATGGAGTGCAGAGGGGAGCTCAGGACCCCAGCTGGCAGGAGTGACGGGTATACAGGGGAGACAATGCTGAAGAGCTCACAGTCTTCACCCCAAGAATTAGATGGTGGTGGGAAGAGTGGGGAGACTTTCAGCTCACTCGGCAGAACAGACAGACATGAAAACAAGCTTCCTCGAGAAGCATATGAAGCTCAGAATACAAAGATGAAATACTAATGCGCTGGTTTTCAATAGTATCTATGTGCAAGGTATAGGGTGCTAGCCCAGATTAATTCTTCAAACAAGACCTCAAGCCCCTTAGTTACAGAAGAGGAGACCCACGCACAGAGGGTTGGCCAATGCAACTTGCCCACAATCACCAAGCTATCGAGAGGCAATGTTAGGCTCTTCAGCAGCCCACCTGGCTCTGCAGCCAGGGCCAGGGCCCCCTGTCCTGACAGAAGGGCCCTTCAATTCCTTGGGCAAAGCTCATCTGCTGGTGGGAGCTGTGCGGAGCTGGCGGGTGTGTGAGGTGCATGCTGGCTCTGCAGGAAGATCCCTTGAGGAGAGGATGGCCAGCTCTAACTAGACCACCTCTCCAGATCAACACCCTCTTTGGACACAGGAGGAAATGGGAAAGTCACAGGGTTGGGGACCTCATTTGAGACCAGCAGGGTGGGGCACGAGCTGGAACCATGTCCTGACTCTTCCCACCATCCCACCTGGCCTCTACCTACTGCGCACAGGCTCTTGCTGTCCGCTGGCTGACTTTACAAAGCACTGGACACACGTGTAGCAGCCCAGTGAAGACTGTGTGTTTGGTGCGCCGAGCTCAGGGAGCCCTCCCAGCCACCTGCCAAGCTCGGCTCTCCTTGCTCACTCAGGAAAGTTGGACACCCACGTTAACGGGAGCAGCCTCCTGCTCCACCTACTTCTCTCTTTTCGTCCCATATCCAGAGGCAGTCATGTGCTTGGCTCACGCCCTGTGCAGTTACCTTCAGAGCCTACTTGGGATGCAACCCACAACTAGACACATTCCAAAGTGTCTGTCACATTCCTATCTGTCACACTAATAATGATGATTTCACTCTGCTACACTTTTCTTTCTCAGTTTACTGCCAAAGGAGCTGACTGCTCACCCAGCACCTCTGCAAACCAGAGATCTGGTGTGAACCTCTTGGCCTCCTGTGGCACTCCATGCATTCATGTTCTCTCTGCCTGCTGCGCTGTCTTGTGCTGGGCGTGGGGTCTGCCTGTGCACAGGGACGTGATATTCTCTTCAGTGAATAACCTCCACTGATGGAGGCTGGAAATGGCACACATTCTTCATATGACCCTGAAAACACAGAGCTTCGTGTCTTCTGCAATCTACTGCTCTGCACAAGTTTGTACAAGCAAGTCTTACTCACCTGAGGATACAGAGAGAAGGAATCTGATAACCTGAAGGAAGTGGGATCTTCCTTGTTATATTGGCCAAATTTCTGACACTGTTGAAAGAAAATAATTTAAAAAACAACATGTAAAAAAAAATCTGAGGTCCGTGCAGTGGCACAACAGCCTAATCTTCCTCCTGCAGTGCTTACATTTCAAATGGGAGTCACTTTCATTCCTAACTGCTCCATTTCCCAACCAGCTCCCTGTTTTTGACCTGAGAGATCAGTGAAGGGCAGCTCAAGTCCTTGCAACCCAGCACCCATGTAGGGGACCTAGACAGAAGCTCCCGGCTCCTGGCTTTGAATCAGCTCAGCTTTGGTCGTTATGACCATTTGGGGAGTGAACCAGCAGAAGGAGCACCTGTCTCTGTCTCTCCTTCTCTCTGTTACTGCCCTTCAAACTTTGCCCTTCTTTTTATAAAGAAATCAACAGGGAAAAAATGTGTCTGAAGGTTCACTTCCCAAGGCTTTGCCAACCTCTTAGAAACTAAAAGTCACCTCTTGGCAATTCTAGGAGCAGTTATTAGCTTGTATTTGAAATGTTGACATTCCCTGAAAAACGATTTCATGCAATGGCAAGGGGTAACTATTGAGCCAAACAAAGTAAAACAGTTTCGCTCACGGGGCTTTGCATTGCCTCTGACCATGAATATGTGCTGCGAATGTACCAGAAGGCGTGGAGTGCCAACTATTGATCTGTTGCCTCACGGTTCCAAATTTACCCCTTCTGCTGGCTGTGAGATGATGCGGGCCCTTGACCCACATGCCTCGGCCAGCTGCCGTGTACCGCATTCTGCCAGTGGAGGCTGCAGGCGACAAGGGGCCACATGCTCACTGGCAGCCTCCTCACTGCTAGGTGCTGGCTGCTCCACTCCCCACCCAGCTTCATGCTAAGCGGCCTGGGTCCCAGTGTTTGGGTCCCTGCCACCCAAAAGGAAGACTCCAGTGAAATTCCTGGCTCTTCAGCCTGGCACAGCCCTGGCTGTTGTACCTACAGAGTGAACCAGCACGAAGGGAAGGCTTCTTTTTGTCTCTTCTCCTCTCTAAGTCTGATTTTCAAATAAACAAATATATCTCTCATGCACAAAAAAGCAGAGCAGAGATCAAGCCTGAACATAATGCTCTTGTGCCCAACTTACCAGTCGGATGAGCTGGCGGTCCAGCCACCGGAGCACGTCGGGCCCCTCCTCAGACTCGGCCCGGAAGACACCTAGCCGCGCCATCAAGACGGCAGCAGCCTCCTGGTCAAAGGAGGCTTCAATATGCCTGAGCTGACTCTGTGCATCTGCCCAACTGCCGACGCCAGCGTCAGTGTCACAGTCACGTGCAAGAGACAAGAAAGCCAGATCTCCATTTAGACAAAGAAACACACATCCTGTTCCTGCATTGCAGAGCACACAGATTTGAGTTTCGCTTGCACCCAGGAGTCCCAGGGGCTCTCTGCACATTCTCAGTTGGCTTTACGTGATCTCTGACAGCTGCACACTCCAAAGAAAATTACAGAGGAGCACTTCCCCATGGGCCACAGGACACCATGCAAGCAAAAATTCAGTGCAATGTTGCTAGTTTCATTTTTTTTTTTTCTGCTTAAAAAAATTAACTGTTTACAAATCCACCAAATAACTTCCCAGCATCACACTCCAGGAAGATAAAAAAGAATCAACATACATACAGAAGTTTTCCAGGTGAGTAAACACACCACAAACATAGATAAAAATCAACACTGACCAGGAACAGATGTGGGCAGCAAACCTAATAATAAACTACTTGCAGAATAGTTTTCATAAAGTAGCAAACAAGAAAAGGAAACCTATTTTGCAAAATGGGCAAGGCTACCACAGACGAAATACATATGGACAATAAGCATGCATGAGGACACAACTTCCTGATAATGTATACAACTACTGATATGGGGAAGATACAAGTGACAATGAGATGTTGCTTGCTATTTGTTAAAGATTGAAAATACCCATGGTTAGTTAGGAGGCAGGGCATTTTCCTTGCACTACTGGGCAGAGTATATACTGGGACAATTTCGACTTCTGTGAGGGTGACCGGCTGGCAGGATGCAAAACGTCCTTGAAGAGGAATGATGCACCCCATGCATGTCATACAATACAAGGCAGCCATTGAAATATATACATACAAGCTTACAAACGGATCATACATACACACATATAGATGGATACAAATATAGATATTTAGACATTAATAGCTATTGCAAATGTACAAGGTTACCTCAAAAAGCTTGTGGCTGGGCCCCAAGCAGCAGCCTAGCAGCTAAAGTCCTTGCCTTGCTCGCGCCAGGATCCCATTAGGCACTGGTTCATATCCCAGCTGCCCACTTCCCATCCAGCTCCCTGCTTGTGGCCAGGGAAAGCAGTTGAGGATGGCCCAACGCCTTGGGACCCTGCACCCATGTGGGAGACCTGGAGGAGGCTCCTGGCTCCTGGCTTCGGAAGAGTTCAACTCTGGCCTTTGCAGCCACTTGGGGAAGTGAATCAATGCATGGAAGATTTTCCTCTCTGTCTCACCTCCTCTCTGTGTACCTGACTTCCCAATAAAAATAAACAAATCTTTAAAAAGAAAACTGTGGCAGATGGAATAAAAATAATAAACTTATTTTGGTATAATTTTTTCTGTTTGTTTAAATCCTACATAGCATTTTCATAACATGCACTTTCCACAAACTCTGAAGTACCTTTCTCTATATGGGTGTATGGTAGGTAACTTTAAGGACTGGTGGAATCATTAAAGCGAACTAACAGAGATTAAACCAGCTCTTCAGAGGACAAATGTCAGTCGGGAGACTGCGCATGCTCACTTTCGGGCGATGGTGGTCACACGGATGCGTCTCTGGGTGCTGGAATGCTGATACTGTGTGATGAACTGGATGGCGCCTCTGCCTCCCTGGGGGATCGGGGCGTTGTGCTGCAGGACAAGAGGCAAGACACCTTGTAACAGTTCCAGGTGGAACTCAAACACAGGCCCAGGCCCACTGGGTGCTTAAGTGAGGGCCACAGCCGGGACAGTATGGCTTATATGCACTTCAAATGATGCACTTAGGATCTGTATATTTTTCTGTATGGAACATTCACACACACACACACACACACACGGCACCAACACATTTGATACTGAACTCAAGAGACTGATATGTATGCTGAAGTGTTAGGGATCAATTTACACTTATGATTTCCAATTTGCTTTGAAATGCATTAAGTAAATATAGTGAGATGCTACAGAGTCCAGTCAGTGGGCACATCAGCATAAACTGTACATCTGTTTCAGCCTTCTGTATAATAGCAATTTTTCATAAGAAAACATTGGAGAAAGACTGAAACAAAACATTAACACAGGCATAAGTCATTGCTCTCCTAAGTGTATGGTTATGCCACAAATATTTGAAAGCCATACATATGAGGAATCAACACACTCAAAGAAAATACATATTACGAAGAAACTACACACAGATTCTACATATTTCTGCACCAAAATAAACTCCTTTTACTTTCAACTCACCTGATTGACAACTTCAAAGTAGATGCCAAGGGTAGAGGTAGGATCCAGGCCACAGATCTTCCACTGACTTGTGCCCCCAACACCCAGCTCCTGGGAGGCGCAGAGGAAGGAACAGACACACACGTCAGCCCATGGTTAACTGCAGACGCTTGAAGGACAGGCAGCTTAGAACATCACTTTTCAGGGGAAAATTTACATTTAAATTTTTTTTTTTTTTTACTGAAAAAACACAATTACAGAGCAGAAGAAGGCCTAATACTTGGATTTATAGTATCTAACCGTGGAACCTCTCATTATGTTGATGGTGTAGCCAGTTTCCACTGTGGTATCTAACACTGAAGTTCATAACGAATCAAGTCAGGGCTGGGAGAAATAAACAATAGGAAAAAGGATCATCTAGTAAGCTTTATGTTTTATGCACTTGTTTCATCATCACTATTAGAATAAGAAATAGTTACACAACGTTAGCTATAATTACTACTTTTCTACCCAATTCTTTTAGGTTAGGTGAAAGTGATCAATAACCTGGGTGTTAGACACAGTGGTCTTGTTACGGCAGTTAGCAATGTGCACATCCTGTATCCGAGTATCTGGGCTATGTCTGGGCTCCTCCACTCCAGGTCCAGCTCCCTGCCAACATGCACCCAAGAGACCACAGAGGACGCCAAAGCACCAGAGACCCTGCCATTTGTGTGGAAAACCCAGATAGAGTTCCAGGCGCCCGATGTCAGCCTGGCTCAGTCTTGCCTACTGATGGCAGCTGGGAAGTGACCTAGTGGACAGAAGATCTTTCTCTGCTAAGAGTTTTAGAAGTTAACTACTCTTGATGTTCCATGGTTGGTATACAGAAATTCATCCTACTCTTCTTAATACGTTCCTGAATGTTTGAAAACTTATTTTCCTTCTCTTTGTATCCCCAAACCGAAATTCTTGGCTGAATATCTCTGAAACAGCTGGTCAATTTGTATTAATTCATAACAACATCTTAGCAGGAAGTAGTAAGGCCAAGGTTAAGTTCTTCATCAAACCAATTTTATGTTCTTAGAAAACACTTTGGGAAAAGGTGCTCTTCCAAAGCCCTGCCAGGAAACAGGCACTAGTCCCTTAGCACTCAGTGTAATGAATGAGTGCCTATCTATCTATCCATCCATCTATTTATCCATCCATCCATCTATTTATCCAACATAATTCAGAACATAGAGCTCTGCATTCAAACTCTTGACTCTGCCACCAACTCGTCAGGTTGTCCTTCTTAGTTTGTTTCATGCAGTTTTATTTCTTTGAGGCTGGTGTTACAGGGGAGCAGGCTACAGCAGCATCTCTTTAAGAGTCCCAGATGCTCCACTTCTGATCCAGCTTTCTGCTCATGTATCTGGGAAAGCAGCAGAAAATGACATAGTGCTTGGGCCCTTGTTGCCCAAGTAGGAGACCCAGCTGAAGCTCCTGACTTTGAATAGGGCTATCTCAGCCATGGTGGCCATTTCGGGACGGAATAGGAGATGGGAAATATTTTCTCTTTCTCTGATATTTTTTCCTCTCTTTTACTGCTTTTAAGAAAAGAAATATCAAAATATACATACATATTTTTAAACTTAAGTGTAAGGAAGAAGTGAAAAGAAACACAGAGAGGAAATAGCTCCCATTCACAGGGACATTCTCCAGTGTCTTCAAATTCTCAAGGCAAGAGAAGCTATGGTTGGAGCTAAGAACTCAATGCAGGGGCCAGGATGATGGCTCAATGTCTCAACCTTCACCTTATGACCTTATGGGTGCCAGGATCTCATATGAACATCAGTTCGTGTCCTGGCTGTTCTACTTCCCATTCAGTTCCCTGCTTAAGGCCTGGGAAATGCGAAAAAAAGCTCCTGGCTCCTGCAGCTCTGGCCATTGTGGCCATTTGTGGAATGAACTAGCATATGGAAGATCTTTGTCTCCTCTCCATAAATTTTATCTGCCTTTTCATTATAAATTTTTTAAAATATTCAAATATTCGTGTGTGTGTGTGTGTGTGTGTGTATACATACATAAGAACTCAATCTAAATCTGCCACATGGGTTGCAGAAATCCAACTGCTTGAGTTACTATCCTTGCTTTCCCAGGCTCTGCTAGGAATCAAACCCAGGTAGTCAATGCAATACGGAACAGGAGTGTTCCAACCCATGTTGTAACCACCAGGCCAGCTGTCCACTCTAGTGGGCTTCTGGGCAGCACTTTAGGTGGGCTACTGGGCAGCACTTTGAGTCACCCAGGACTCAAGGAATGCTCTCTGAAACTGTCGCTGTCAAATTCAGTAAATCTAATCTGTATAGTCAATAATGCGTATTGTGATGAAGACAAAGTGATGGCATGAAACATGGCACTCGGGGTATGCTGCCAACGTGCTGGGCGCTGTCCTAACTGCCCCTCAACAAACTCTGTAATCTTGCTCACCATTCTATAGAACAGATGCTGGTATCCCAGACAGTGACTTAGAGAACCATCAATCTGTCCTGGCCCACAGAGCTAGAGAGTGAGAGACCTGAACATTCAGGTGCCTTATAGCTCAACTTTCCCCAGAGGGTAACAGGGAAGGGCATGACGCAAGAATGCAGCCAGCAGAGGGAGATCGCATCAGACCAAATGGCTCACAGCCTGGCCACTGAAGTACATGCAGCAGGCAAAGGCCACCGCAAGGCCACCAGCCTGCCCTGCATTCACAGACACCCAAGACATGCCATTACAGAACACACCTGTGTGTATACACAACGGTAACCTCTGCTGGGAAACAACTCAGACTGCTCTCTCTGGACAGCTCATTATCAGCCAAGAGCAGAACAAAGGCATCATGTCAAGGCTTAAGAACAGACAAGTTTGTTCCTGAAGGATTTTGTTGAACGCTTGCCTGCTACTGAACAGAACACCCTTGGCTCTCCAGCCCAGTAACCCAAGCATCAGTGGAAGAGTCAGAGGAACCCAGGCTGCAGCTCCTGGGTCAGCTCCGGCCCTAAGCAAGATGCTTCCCTTCCCCATGCCTCCTTTCCCCCGACCCTGTAAGACAGAGAACCGGACAATGCAAACAATCTTGGCTCTCAGCCCTGCGGTGGTCCCAAAGGATCAGCTCTTCTCTCCTCCCTTGGACACGCTCCACAGGTGACATACTGCAAGGCTTCACCTTCCAACACCTCTAACAGGGCAGGAGGTAAGGGTGAGGACGGCAGAGTTTTCCTTACATTTTCTGACACACACGGTCCTTTCACATTCAGAGATACACACGGGCCAATGGCTCCTGCAATCTTCAGTTCCCGAGAGGTCTAAAACAAATTCCAGAAGAGTAGAAAGTTAAAGCTCACCAAGCCCCACTCTGCCATCCTGGCGGTCACAACACAAATGCAGAGGGGAAACATGGGAATGTTATCATTCTACCAAGAGCAAATCCCAAATGGGTTAGAAAATATTAACTGTGCCACAACCTTTTCTAAGGTCACAATGAGCTGACTAAAATATGAACAAAATCTGCCTTGAGATACCACATGAATATGATACGGCATTCTCAGCTCTGTCAATGCACTTTAAATTCTAAAATTATTTACATAAAGAACAACTCAATCAACAGTACCTTTTCTCAATCCCATGTATATTCATAATCATTTACATATTTTTAATCAGTGAACATATTTTTTTGTATTGCTAAAAATACTGAATTCATGACCCTCAGCATAATGACAAGGTCAGAATGTGTATACTTTTAAATGTGAATTCATTTTAATACCTATTCCACTTCATATTAAAAAGAAAAAGGGAGGTTGACATTGTGGCATAGCATGCAAACCTACTGCCTGAGATGCCCACATCACATCTGGGTGTGAATTGAGGTCCTAGTTACTCTATTTCCAATCCTGCTCCCTGCTGTGGAAGGCAGTGATGGATGGCCCAGGTGCCTGGGCCCCTGCACCCATACGGAAAACCTGGATGGGGCTCCTGCTCCTGTCTTTAGCCTCGCCAGGTCCTGGTTGTTGTGGCCATTCGGTGGTGAACCAGCAGGTAAATGATCTCTTTCTCTGTCCCACCCTTTCTGTCTCTGTAACTCCATCAAATGAACAAAAGTCTTAAAAAATTCAAACATTTATTTAAGTTTAACTTAAACACTTTAACAGTTACTACAAACTCTAGTACTAGTTCCAATCAAATGTTCTAATGGCCCCTTTTAATGCTCTCTCAGTTGACTCAGAATCAACTATAGGAGGACCAGGAGTTCCCTCAGGGACAAACCATCCCAAACTCTCAATGCTATCTATTCTTCTATAGGCATTGAACACAAATTCCAGCTCTGGGCAGTGTGTGTCCCCCACGGCCAGCTGGGGGGACACTGGCCACGGCGAAGTCCCCTGTCCTCCGGTCTCAAAGCTGTTCCTAATTCCTACTCCATCACCAGCTCTCCTAGAACAGAAGAAACAGACGGCTCCTCTGGCTCCACAGTACAGCAGGACCCACAGGGAAACCAGCCCCTTCTCAGCTAAACTATTAACACCGATGCTGGCCAGCCTGGACAACAAAGTGAAGATGTGACTAAGAAACTGTGACAGTCACTGGGGTGGCTGTCAGCAGATCTCCCAACATCTGTGTGCTGCAGGCAGGTTGCCAGAAGGCTAACTCCTGAGTGCAGAGCAGCACTGCACAGTCAGCCCTCGGATCCACGAGGGATTGGCTCCTGGCTCCCCTCCAGATACCAGAATCTGAGGATGCTCAAGTGCCTTGTAGAAAATGGCATGGTATTTGCGTATCATCTACGCATATTTCCCCATATACTTTAAATCATTTCCAGGTTACTCTAAACCCCAAACAATGTAAATGCTAAATAAATAGCTGTTATACTATATTACTCAGGAAACAGCAAGAAAAAAAAGGCCAAATAGATGCAGAACACATAAGTCTTCCCCCAAACACCTTGAATTCAGTTGGTTGACTCATGGATGAGCAAATGCAGATACAAAGGGCTAACTTTGATGCCATGAAGATTTAAAAGTTTGATTTACCTTTACTTCTAAAGTAGCACCAAATGCCATTCGAAAATTTCCATTAAAATCTTTACTAAAAATTCTTTGGAATGTCTGTTTGAAGAGTGAAGTGTTGAAAGAATCTCCCATCACCATGTAGCCTCTAGGTAAAACAAAAGAAAGTCAACACTAGCATGAAGGAAAGCCATTCAAACTCCCCCTCAGTATTTACAATGACAGCCTAAAAACTACACATGTAACACTAGTAAAACCCAAGTTAGATTCTATATCAAATATATTATGAAGTATTCAACGACACATACAGAAACATGCCAGACAAGAAGTATTTTGATAGAGAAAATTAGAGTAGTTTAAATATTATTTCTACAATTACAGGACTCAAACCTACTTTCTTTTTTAAAGAACTACTTATTTTTTATTGGAAAGTCAGATTTGCAGAGAGATACAGAGAAAAATCTCCTGTCCGCTGATTTAATTCCCAAGTGGCTGCAATGGCCAGAGCTAAGAGCTGATCCCAAGCCAGCAGCCAGCAGCCAGGAGCCAGCTCTGGGTCTCCCTCACAGGTGCAGGGTCCCAAGACTTTGCACCGACCTCGACTGCCCTCCCAGTGCTGCTCCTAATTCCTACTCCATCACCAGCTCTCCTAGAACAGAGGAAACAGACGGCTCCTCTGGCTCCACAGTACAGCAGGACCCACAGGGAAACCAGCCCCTTCTCAGCTAGACTATTAACACCAATGCTGGCCAGCCTGGACAACAAAGTGATGATGTGACTAAGAAACTGTGACAGTCACTGGGGTGGCTGTCAGCAGATCTCCCAACATCTGTGTGCTGCAGGCAGGTTGCCAGAAGGCTAACTCCTGAGTGCAGAGCAGCACTGCACAGTCAGCCCTTGGGATATGAACCAGAGTCCATATGAGATCCCGGCATGTGCAAGGTTACCACGCCAGGGCCTGAACTGCATTTAAAATGCCGCCACTGGGAAAAAACAGATGAAGAAAGTGGGAGGATCATCTGTATTCTCTGAACATTTATAACTTGTGGTTCTGTAATTACTTCCAAATAAAAGTTAAAGAAGCCTCAAATTAACATACCCTTCAGTTTATATCTTAGTTTATTTAGTTTGAAAGGTAGAGTTACAGAGATTAAGATTTTCCATCTACACACTCCTTCCCTACCCAGCTACAACGGCGAAGCTCATGGTGTAGCATTTATAAGCTCTCTGGCAGGACTAGGGCCACAGAGCTATCAAACTCTGTTCCACATTAGAATCACGGGAAAATGTTTTAACATGCACATGCCCAGGTCACACTCCATGCAAAAAAATCCGAATCCACGGAGGACAAGACCCAAAGCAAGAGTAGTTTTTCAAGTTTTCTAAGGTTCTAACATGCAGCTGGCTTTAGACCAGTGCCCAGCCCGTTATCATCATTACGGTTGCAGGTGCATGTCATCCTCCTGGACAGTTCATCCCAGAGCATCTAATTCACAAATGCTGGCACAAAGTCTGAGGAGCACACGGCTAGTCAGCTCTCAGGAACCCCGAGGCTGTTGGTTGAGACACTCTGCACCCTGAGGACCCCTACTTTCCATCTCAAAGTGCTCCTAGGTGACCTTGTCTGCACCCTGTCCCCAACACTGATTTCTCCTATCTTCACACAGCAGTTCCCTCTCCCCACAGGTCCGCTGGCAACACACCCAGTAAGATTCGTGCAACACTTCATCTCCAGAAGCCCGGTCTGATCAAGGGCACAGGCGTAAATATCAATGCAGTGGCCGTTGACAGCAGTTCGATTAGCGAGCATCTCGTAATGCTATGAAGACAGAATACACTCTTTAGGAAACATTGCCGTTTTTCCAAGGTGTGCTTTAATAAACCAAAGGATATGGAAAGGGAAAAATAAGGACTTGGTTTCCAGTTTTAAAACACTTTCAGCAGTTTTAAAGCTGTCACTCCAACTGAGGTCAGACAGAGGGAGCAGTAATTGAGCAGCAGCCAAGGCCTGGAACAAAGTCTCAGAATGAGGAACTTGCTGGCTGGCAGCTGTCACTCCGGAGCAACCCAAATGCACCAGGACAGCCCCACACTCACGACTACCCACCTTGGTCGCCTTCTTCATGAAGCGTGCATTGTCTTTCTCAATGTCATGCCAGGAACGGATAGGAACCTTCAGCTCATCACCAACAACCATGCCAGGCCCTTGGGTAGGCGGGCCACCCGTGAACAGCATGATTCGGGCTCCCATGTTGGGGAAAGTGCCCTGCAACAAGTAGCAACAGGTTAGGGGTGCATGGCCTGCCTCTAGGTGAGTTCCACTGCCAACAAAAACGATGCACAGCCCGAGTCTTCTTGGATGATTCTCATCTTGATGAAAGTACAGAACGATACAGACACAGATGCTGATGTGAGGTGGTGGGGTTTGGGGTGGGGACAGCACTGCCCATCATCCCAGCTGATGGTTCTGTGCGCTAGTAGCTTACTGTGAGCCCTTCCCATTGCTCTACCTCCCTTGTACTTTCCATGAACATTTTCGGTCTTTCCCAAACATTGAAGGGCTCCTTCAATGTGGATAATACCGACTTACATTAATACACACAGGTACATGACTTAGGTCACAACTGATTTCTAAACAAGGCCGACAAAGCAAATTCTGGCCACAGGTTTCCCGGTGAATTGCAGATTACCTCCAACAAGCCAACGGCGATGGACAGGGCAATGCCAGTGGAGCGCAAGGGTCTCTTCCCCTGAGTTACCGGCCATGGGTCCCTCTGCAGCTCGCCCAGCAGATCGGTGAGGGTCATGTCAATCTTGTGAACCGGCTGCAGAAACCTGAGAATGTTGAAAAGAAATGTCCACCTTGCCTTCACAGAACATTCTGGTCTTCAATTCCAGGGGACTTCCGGTTACTACTCTTTAAACAGGAAAAAAAAAAGCTACCACTGTCTTCACGGTTATCTCTAGATACATGCACAACTCAAGGATTAATTTGCTAGGGAATGTACAGTCTACTTTTTAGTAATTTATACATGTAGTAAAGAAAAGAAAATGTCACTCTGATGGGAATAAATGGGTGTCACTGGTAGGCAGCAGAGGAATGCTAAGGAGACATCTATAGGAATTGAGCACCCAGTAGCTTCACGGTTCTAACGCATTTTCTTCCGTAAGAGAACAGAGGCCAACATAGGCCTTCTTGACCCCCATGGGCTGTCCTGCAGGCCCACAACAGCATGTGACACCATGCATAGAGGCCTCACCTGCTTGAAACAGAAGGGTGCTCATGCGCTTGAGCAGGTCTTGGCTGCGACATGGCCATGGCCGGCTTGCTCAGGCCCAGCATATCCTAAAGAAAGCAAAGCGAAGAACTCATTTCCTATAAACCATGCAGAGGAGGACGAGTTCACTTCTAAGAAACAGCCAGGCTTCAGGTTCAGCAGGACACAAACCTGGATCTGCTTTGCAGTTAAATCCTTGGTCCCCCGGAAGACGTAACTTTTGGAGATTCCTTCGCAGCTTAGTTCGTGCACCTGCACCATCCTCCCAAAAGTGATGAGGCCCACCAGGGCGTCTGGTGGAAGGAGACTCAGGGACATCTGCAAGGACTCTTTGAGTGCTTGAAGGTCATCTTCCTCCAGACATGTGTCGACCACGTACAGAAAGATCAGGGGGGACTGGGGACCCCGCTTTCAGCGAACAGAACCAGCACAAGGGTCAGTGTCAGATTCACGTGACTAACTCTTGTTTAAGCACATCAAGTGTAAAACTATCAAGTCTTCCATTACATTTAAATTCTGGGCATAAGTACATGTACACAAACCCTTCTTTATCCTATTAAATGCCTTAGATGCTTTCGTGAAGAACTACACATAAAAACTGTTTCCAATAATTTATTTAACACTTTGGGGATGACACTTTGTGTGAGGCAGCCTTCCAGGACCTGGGCATGTTAGTCAGCGCCCAGAAAGAACCAAGACTCCTGTCTGCCTCAAGGAGCAAGCTTTCTGGAAGGCAGAGGGGGATAGTGCTATCCAGGAGGGCAGCCAGGGGGCAGCTTCACACACTAACAGAGGCTGGGCAGCCTCATTAAGAAAGGCACATTCAAGCAACAAGCTGGCCGGGAAGGGAACCACAGAGACAGAGGGAAGTGCTAGCCTCAGGCAAGGGCTGAGCAAAGGCCATCACACCTCGGGGCCCTAGGAGCTGGACAAGGACAGCAGCAGGAGCTGAGGTCAGAGAACAAACACACAGGGCTGTGAAACCTGCCTTCCACTTCGGCTGGAAAGAAGAGCTCTTCGCAGCACTGAAGGTTTCGGAACAGAGAGCTAACAGAGCTGCCAGAGAGGTACCTCGGGACAGAGAGGGAACATGATATGCTTCTTAGGGTTGCTTTGCTGCTGGGTTAAGGACCAACGGCAAGAACAAGAGGAGCAGTCGGGAGACAGCTGTAAGTGCCTACACCCCACAACACAAGCTTTAGGAACCTGCTGCATCCCCAGCTTCAAATCCCCTGCAAGGAAAGATACAGGATTTTCAGAGAAACTACATATTTAGCAGTGTTCATTAAAGGCACAACAAAGAAGTTACCTGTACCACGTACTCAATGGTAGAAAACTGGGGCATCAACTCGGCAGGCTGATTCATCTCAGATATGCCCGCATAAGCCGGAGGAAACTGAAAACAAAGCATTGCTTTGTTAGACCTGAAAGGTACTCTCTCTACACATTTTACTTTCCAGTTGTGAAAACTACTAATGACCATTTTGAAAGTGCCAAATATGAAATAATGGGGATGGCACTACGGGGCAGTGGGCTAAATCACTGCATACAGTGCCAGCATCCCACACTGGAACACTAGCTCCAGTTCCAGCTCTTCTGTTTCTGATCCAGCCTCACAGTAATGTAGCCGGGAAGGCAGCAGAGGACGGCCCAGGCCAAGCACTTGGACCCCTGTGCCACGGGGAGACCTGGGTGGAGTTTCAGGCCTAGTCCAGCCCCGTTATTACAGCCATTTGGGAAGTGAACCTGAGGATGGAAGATTAACTTTCCATTCACCCTTACAAATAAGTTAGACAATTTTTTTAAAATAAAATGTATCAAACAGTATCTAAAAATTAAAGACCATCATCTAAAACTTGCAACTCTCTTTAAAAATTTTACTAACTATACTTGAAGGTCAGAGTTACAGAAAGACAGTGAGACACAGACAGAGGTCTCCCATCTCCTGGTTCACTCTCAAATGGCCACAACAGCCAGAGCTGGGCTGGGCTGTGCCTATACTGGGAGCCAGGGGCTTCTTCCTGGTCTTCCACTTGTGTGTAGCGGCCCAAGAACCCAGGCCATCCTCCAGCGATTTCCTCAATCCAATGTGGGGCAGCTGCCAGTGCCACAGGTGGAGGTTTTAGGGCACTATACCACCATGCCACCCAGTAAACTTGTCTTATATTTGTATCATACATAACTTCTAAAATATCTCTATTTTTCAGAGCAATTTTAGGTTACAACTGCTTAAAAACACACCGTTAAAAACCGTTTTTCTGTCCTACAAATTAAAGGCTGAGATTTTTGCCTGTCTTAGCAACAGTCTACATGGAAAGGCTCCCATCTTTATCTGGATTTTTTTTTTTTTTTATTTTGTCCGTTACCAATAAGAGAATATATCCTCAGGGTAGGAAACTTGACAAGTTTAGGAAAACCTAAAAAAACAGAAGGTAAAAACCCAAATCCTGTGTGAACTAGAGGCCGACCTTGGTTATTGGAGACCTTGGTTACTCCTTTCAGATGTTTTCTACAGAAGCAAAATTGAGACCATCACACATATGCAAAGCTGAGTCTGGCTTTTTACACTTAAAAAAAAAAGTATGGGAGAACACCGAGGTCATCCCACCACACTGGCCACATCCCAGCAGCCGGGAGAGGCCCAGTTCACCCACTGTGGAAGAGGGGGGAAGAGGCTGAGCCCGCTCTGACCCCTCCAGGGAACAGACCCCCTCCAGCACTGTGCTCATTTAGAGGCTTGCTTCTGCATGTCCCCCACCCCACCAGGATTACAGATGACTGTGCTGCCTGTGGTGGCACACGGCCTTCCAGAGCACATTCGTCAGCTGGCACATGGCGATCGCAGGAAAGCACTGGATATTAAGTCCAGAGCACCAGGTGTCAGGCACTGCTCTAACCCCTTCACGTCCATCAACTGCATCTAATTCTTAGCAATGATCCCATGAGGTAGGCAACACCACTGCCATTCTCAGTGTAAAGACAGCAACAGGAGACTAAGCAACCTCCTCAAAGAGACACTGGAAGTTAAGTGGGGGATCTAGTGCAACCTAGGCAGTGTGGCTACAGAGTCCTAGCTCTTGATCATCACTTTGCTTGAGACCTTTAACATCAAATTATTTAAACACAGACATCATCAATTCTGAATGTAGCAATATTGGGGTGTGTGTATTCTTAAGCAGAGACAGAGAACTCCTGCTAGCTAGCATGGTATACAACTGCCATGGGAGACACGGGCACCTTGACCGCTAGGCTCAACACCTGCCCGGACGGTATACTGAAGGAGAGACATACTGAATGGAATCTTCTTACTTTCTGAGTATGCAGTCAGTCAACAACTGATCATTGTCTACTTCATCACTGCCTAGGTCCATGTCTGGGAATACGTTTATCAAATAAATGAATAAATACATGCAAGCTAGCAACAGTTTAGGCTCTGTTCAAATGGTGTACATTAGGATGTCCATGATTTTTTTCTAACAGCTTTCTTGAGGCACAAGTTATACAAAATTCACCCATCTGAAGTGTATAATTTGCTGATTGTGAGTAAACACACACAGAGGTGTGTGACCACCACCACAGTCCTGTTTGAGAACACTACCATCACAGGTACAGGTAATTTTAAAGAAAAGTCTCCCATGATTTGTGAGCTCCCAGTTTGGTAGCTGAAAAAGTTTTAAATTAGAAGAAGCTCAATATTGAGCCTGGAGTCCTAAAAGATCAGAAAATGAGAATTTAGTGACATCCACTATCCACTAGGAATAAACTGAAATTAAGTGATATACAAGCTACACATCTGTTACGAGGGTAACAGACTTCCTGTCTTCCGAAAACTTGCAAGGAAAGAAAATTCTATACTTTCTCCATGCAAATGATGAGGACTCAAAATAACAGATCCAGCCAGAGAAAAATGACAAGTGGTCAATTTGCTTAACCAAGGTTGTCACCTTGAGTTCAGCAGAAACTGCTCATTATGAGTGACACACAAACGCAACCCCACAGAACTTTATCTTTTGCAGAGTAGCACAACTAATAATCCAACACATCACAATAATTCACATACCTGATTTCTTTGGAAACAGAAATTGCAGGCCCAGAGTTTTGCTCGATAATCAACCTGACTGTCAAAAAAACAAACAAAAAAAGTCACAACTAGGTCCTTCATGTTTATTTGAGAAAAGACACAGGGAGGGACAGAGTTCCTGTCCACTGGTTCTTTCCAAATGACCAAAATGGCCAGGGTGGCAGGAACCCAGTCAACTGAGCCATTCCACTGACACCCAGAGTCTACATTCTCAGGGAGCTGGAGTCAGAAGATGCAAGTCGATCCCAGATCCAGACACTCCATATGGGCTGTGAGCACTGGATCAGCTAGGCCAAACACCCACTCCACACCGATTTGTAAGCTGAGAAACATTTCGACGTAAATTTCAAGCTCAGTAAGGAGCACGGCCACGTTCCAGTGCGTGGCCCCATGCCAAGGTGTGCAGTGTGTACACTGCGCTGGAACCCTGGCTCGCTGGCACACCAATACACCTCCTTCCAAACGATGCACTGAACAAGCAGCACGTGCCTTTTCCATTCTTCTGAGTTCCTAGGAAATGTTTTTTAAATTTCATGATTCACATATAATTTACTTCCTTTTGCCTATTAGTTTTGTGATAAAAGGCTGCATTTCCCGATAACTCAACTTCAGCTATGTGATGTGACTGAAAAGTACAGGACAAACTGCCTCAGCTTCAGCCTTATGTGGCCTACTTGAAGCAATGGCGGGCAGGCTTGTTCCTGTACTATTTCCTACATTTGGTCTATAGTGCTTCATGGCTTGCCTCTCCTTCCAATGTTTAACAAATTAAAAAACAGAGCAGGAGCATTCTTGAAGATGGGTGCATTAAATTAAGAGGTGAATGAAGTGAAAAAGGTCTCCTTACGTGAAAACTGTACACTTCCCACCTGCTTCAAAATTCAAATAGCTCCTACTTATAAGAGAAAAATCATAGACTAGTCTTAAGATTTAAAAAAAAATATTACACTAACAAAATCATTAAGAGTTAAAATATTTTTTACCAGTGCTTCCAGCAATACAGGTAAAACAGGAAATGTTGTCCTAAAGCTTTTGAAATTTATTGAAAAAACTTTAAAAGGCACAGATGATGTCTACAGCTAAACCAAAAGCAAATGAATAAGCAGCAAAGTGGATGACCAGCAATGCCAGTAGGAGAACCATCTCACCTGGAGTGTTAACCAGGCAGATTCCACAAGCTCTCACCTCCCCAGAACCTCACCACCTGCTCCTCAGATGTAAACCTACAACTGACCCAGATCGGATGACTTACTCAAGAGTGACACAAATGTAGGTAACGAACAGTACTCAGCAAGCAGACCACGTGGGAAAAATCCCTACCAGAGAGGGCTGAGCACGGCCTTGCACGTTGGCCTGCTGCACAACACAGGCTCATACTGCACGGGTGGCAGGTCTGGACGCTCCTTCAGGGGAGTTAGGAGACAGGCCAGGGGCACCACCATCCTCGTGGCCTCCAGGCGGCTGGAGGGCCACACGTTCCACGTGAACCGCACGCCATCGCGCTCTTCATTCTGCTGAATGAACTCCAGATACGTGGCTGCCATCGTCTGCAAGGGAACTGAAGACAAAGCTCTGATCATTACATCACATTCCCAACTGAAACCCTGAAAGATGGCCTCCAACATGTGAGTGGGAGCTTCAAGCACCTTATGTTCACACCCTAAAAGACACACCCCAGGCAGCGGGGTGCAAGGCAACCAGCAACTAAAATAAATAAATAAATAGGTAAATGAAAGAATTACGCTATTGCAGTGGGCCAGTGTCCATCACACTCTGGGCCTGCATACAATTCCCAGAAGGGCCCTGCAGTAAACAATCCTGATTAAGGCAACATGACACGGCTGGAAAAACCAAGAAATTATTAGTCTCCTGCGCGGAACCCGGATGACGAGAACGGCAAACATTCGCTCCATCCAAGTCTCTAAGACAGCCTAGTGTGATTATGGCAAAAGCGGAGCCAGGAGCACAGGGGACAGAGGTGGCACTTCTGACTAGGGGCAGGGAAGGAGAAAGGGAGATCACCAGAGCTCTCAGCAAACACATCTTCATCGGATAACCGCCATCTGCTCCAGGAAAGTTCCTTACTAACGGTACGGGTTCCACTCCACGGCCCAGGTGTCTCCGCAGTAACACCTGCTCTTCCCATTGTCCATTGCCTCCTCCAGGGCAGTTTCTTAACCTGGGCCTGCACAAACCACACGGCACTTCAGAGGGACTACTTGTGACCTTGTCTGCCCAGTGGTCATCTCCCCCTCTCCACAAGGGAGATGGGTTTGGGCTTATACCAAATTCTCCCAAGGGGCAAGGCATCGAAGACGGTCCCCGCCGAATGAATGACTTTGAATCCTCTGATCCAGTTTTATCTGTGAAGGACCACTGCTGTCTTCCGCTTGCGCGCACACCCTCTCCCAACTCTGAAGCCTCAGGAAACCCCAAAACCTGACCTCCTCCTGGCGCGAGGGCGTCACGCTCAGCCGGCTCGTGTGTTATCCATTCTCTCCGGTTTCCTCTCTGGGGCAGACCACGCCGCCCCTGGCAGCACCCAGGACCCTGTCCTGCGCCCACGGTACCCCCCGACGCCACTCACCTGCCCGCAGCCGTTGGAACGCACAGCTGGAAAAGCTGGGTTCTCGCTCCCACCACCAAGTCCAGCTCAGCTCT